GCTTTATTAACAGAAATAAATTCCTCGGAAAAAATGTTATGCATCCTTGGACACTGCAGGATAAAGTGATTCTTGTTTGTGATTATTTTCAGAAGAGGATCATTGTAGATACATTTGATGATTTGTTGAATTATTATTATGTATTTTCTCTCTTTTTCAGATTGCTGGTACTCTCACCCTTCCATTAGATGTTATTAAAACTCATCGGCAGATTGAACTCGGTGAGAAGGCAATATTTGCAGGTCAGCTTAAAAGAATAAGCAGACATGGTTTTGGATTATGTCTTGATGTCTCTTTTGCATGAGCTCAGAGTATTGTATAAATAAGAAAAAACATGTATTTGATTATCATAAGAGCTGCATTTAGCCATCCTAAAAGATTTTATTTGATCACGAGATACTTCAGATGAATGTGCATTTTTTCTTCTTGTATCTTGAGCCTTCTATTTTTACCCTTTTTCCACTTCTCATGCTGAGACGATTTTATTAAGAGCTATTATGTGATATTTTTAGCCATCATAAATTATTATATTTCATTATGAAATGTTTAGAGTTTTGTTTTCTTTTCTTTTTTTTCTTTTTCTTTTTTTTTTACTACTCTGTCTCATGCTCAGAGTATTTTTGAAGAGCCTTTATATTTTCCTACAACTGTTGTAAGTAGGAATTATCTTTATATGCTAAGGGATGTTAGAAGCATGTCAGGGTCTCCACACCGTTTGTATTTATTTGTGATACACACGTCATTTGTAGACCTATGAATCCAGTCAGTCAGATCATTTTTAAACTAGCTTACTGGTTGGTACTGAGTAATCACAGTGGCTGCTGTCGTTTTCTTTTTGTGAATTTTGTTTGCATGTAGATGGTTCCACAAGAGTTCGGCCACCAAGTAAGCCAGTGTGTCCTCAGCTGATTTCCTCTTTCTTTAATTTCTGGAGAAAAGTGTATTTTTTAGGGCTATTTAATTATTGTTCTTATTATGCTTTATGATGTTATCAACAATACCAATAGCAAGAGAAAAAAAAAAAAAAAACAATCTTTCCAAATATCAAAGAAAAGGGTAAATAGGTAGGACTAGTAAGTGTCTCCTTGGTAATTAAGTACTTGTGGAGCCATCTTTGTGCAAAGAAAATCAACAGATGCAAGGATACAGTGGATATGAAATGTATGCTTGCCATCTCAGCAACAAGGTGTTAAAACTGCAATTTTGACACACATTACTTCTTTTTCATAATGTAATTCCCATGAAGTCGCAAAAAAAGTAAAAGAACCAATTAAAAGATATGTAAGAGGAGGTTATTTCTAATGCTATGAACTCAATGCTGCCGGAAAAATGCTGCACTCATTTTTTATTTTTTTGTAAAATGTCTCTGCACATTGATGGCTCTCTGCAAATGCTTAGCCACAAATGATTTGAACTTTTGACCTTACCTGATTTCACCTTTCCTTGAATTGGTGGGAAAGACTTTTTTTTTTTTACTAATGCTATGAATATTGATGTTGTTATTTTTATTATAATTATAATTACTATAATGTTATAGATATTAGTAATTGCAATATAAGATAATGTAATTTTTTTTTCTAAAATCAAGGAAAAGGATAAACACTTGGTACAAGTGTAGCCATCTATGTGTTAAAACAATTAATAAAGTAAACTCACAGTGGACATGGCAAGTACATACATGCCATACCCAGCGGCATTGGGTTGATGTCAATATTATTATTGTTGGTAATAAAGTCTAATTTAAAAATAGAATACATATATTCATGAAAATTTATTTAAATAGCTTTCTTCCATTACACAGATCCTGCAAATGGCACAAAAAGTGTTGGATCCACAAGAACCATGCTAGAGAACATCTACAGGCAACAGGGCATCAGAGGACTTTTTGCTGGGCTTGTGCCACGTCTCGCCAAAGTGATGCCTGCGTGTGCCATCATGATATCTACTTATGAATATGCTAAAAGGATTTTGAGAAAGCGTAAATCAGTGGTAGTTGATACTTGACTTTGTTTAGTCTGTTTAATAGGTTTATTCAAGTAAATTGCTCAGAGAGCTTGTATAGTTGTTATCTATTATAACAAATTTTATGAATTGGAGGTGTTATGTAAAGCAGGTTGTACTTTATGTATTAGATACATAATGAAAGAATGAAGACACTAATATAAGTCTGAGAAATATACTCACAAAATAAAGAGATTTATATGATATGTTGTGTTAATATACCCGATTCTTTAAAAGTTCATATATCCTAATTAAGATCCATTCCCAACAGAATGGAGTGGGATGTTATAACCAAAATTATCACTTAAAAATTATAAATTATTCCTAAACTGTTTTAGTAGATAAAAGAGGCTTTTTTAACTGTTGGGTTAACATTTAAGGTTTTGCAATCACTTACAAGTATTTTTAGTGCTCTGGATACCAAAATTTGATCCAAGGTTGTTGATCTTTTTTTCCTTCAGTAAGGAAACCATATTACACTGTATTGAACTTTATTTACTTAATAGTAAATAAATCAGCAATTCCCAAAATTTACTAATTTTCTTCACCTAGTATTTGGTAAACTTAGTTGATGGAAGAAGAGTTGCTGGACCACTGACCATGTGAAAAAAGTAGTCATGTACATAATGCACAAAGTGTCATATAGTAGTATTAATGTTAATTTAATGGTATAAACAAAGCAATCGCATTTTGACCATCAAATGCAATATTATATAGGCCAATAATCATATGATACATTCTGAAGAAGGCAATACTTGGGTAAATTTGTAGCAGCATGACACTGCAACTTGATGTTCAGCGTAGTTTCCAAGGTTGGGTCGCACCAGGTCAACAGCCATGTCCTCGCGCATTGAACAGTGGGCTCCCCTCGTTCCCAGCATGCTTACACAGAGCACGTGTACTTAAGCCACAGAATCCGGAACCGAGATCAGCATTCCCCGATCCTCCAGCAGAGTACGACAACAGCAGCAGCAATGCAAGGACTGCCTTCCTGCTCCCCCGTTGATCTCCACTTCAACTCCAGCATCCAACCTGTGGGCACTCACACCCACAACAACCACTCCCCAAAGAGATATAGACTAGTCCAAATAGTATCTACTATAAATTATAATCTCATCATAGAGATGGTCCTTTCCTGTTCCACACAGTTTCTTTTATATAAGTCACACAAGTGCTGCATCTTTTGGGGAGGGCACCAGCAATTTTCATATGGGAATATACTAACTTGATGGGAGTCAACAACTTTCACCCACACATTCCTCTTCTCAGGCTCGTGCTTGCCCTTCATGGTGTGTTTGTTCTCTTCTACCAAAGAAGAGTCTGATCAGCAGTCCAATTACCCTGCATCTCTCATTTTCTCCTCCTCTGGCTTGATGGCCATGCTGATCCAAGTCTAACCACTTCGCACATGCTACTGTTTATTTTGAAGCCCACTCCACTTATAATACTATTTTTTGTTTTAATTTTATGGTACTACTGTGTGTGTGTGTTATCATAGTTTAATATTAAGTGAATAAGTAGTATGCTTTTCTGTGCACATATAGAAATATCTTTAACAAGTCTACTAAGTTCAACCCACTGCAGTTACTTGATGAAGAAATTATCATCTGTACAAAGGTAAATCGAATCCTAGTGATCAATCAGACTATAAATTTAGTGACTTATATATGAACTGATAGCATCAGTAAGAACATATGAACTGAAAACACAGTAGTAGTGTCATCTACAAAGCTTCACAAGAAAAAAAATAATAGAAAATCATTACATTTCTATGCATTCCTAACAAATAGAGAATTAAAACATTTCCTATGCTCTAACCTGTTTAAAAGTTTAAATTACTTGAAGTCTTAGATTCCCTAATTGTGAAGCAGATTAAGAGCACAACTATCTGGCCACTGGATTGCTCATTAAAAGTAGAAGAGGCTTATTATGGAGAATGCAGTGAGTGGAGAGAGCCGGTGCTGTTTGAAATTCGAATCTACCTATAAAACGTTACTGGATAAGAACAATTTTGGCAACCTTCATCTTAACAAGTGAAGGAAATAATAGGGAAAAAAGTGGTCTGTGCTATTTGGAAAATATGTTGGACAGTAAATGATGTTACATTTACTTAGTTTGGAGCATATTTTGCATATGGCATATTTACTGGTCTGATATTCAGTAAATGGAATAGCAGCACTGTGTATAACATTTTAAAAAAGAACACTCAGAGCCAAATGACAAGAAATTGAAAAGAATAAACATAGCAGTGGTGATGAGAGAAAATCTGAGAGAAGGAAGACAAAATGAGAATGAAGAAGAACGCGAAAAAGAAAACGAAGGATATACAGGAGCAGCTTCATGTACAAGTTTCTTTGCATATCATTCAGCTGTGACTTTTGGAATACAGAGTGGGCTATACGGAAAGAACTTATCAGAAATGTGCATGTTTATTTTACTCTTTATACATAAAAGGCCATAACAATATGTAAAAAAATATATTTAAATCTTATTCTAAAATGTGACGATCATTCTTCTTCAGATTCCGTTGCAGGACGAGGCGATCTCCCCGGTCTGTCGAGGCCCTTATGGCGAAGGTACTGCCCTCGGTCCAAGGTTGGCGCCCCGGGGAGGAAAGGAGGGATGTCACTCCCCCCTAGGATGTTGCGAAAGGATTTGGCCCTTCGGACTCCTTTGTCTCGAATAGAAGCTGGAGGATGGAAGGAGACGGATTGGTGTGGGCCTGGCAGGGGGGTCGGGTGGTGTGGTATCGGGTTGGAGTGTGGCAGGATAGGACCCGAATGGTGTGGGAGAGGGGTGCTGTGGTGCAAGATAGGGCTGGTGTGTCGTGTAATGGGGCTCGTATGGTGCGGGATTGGTGAGGAGTGGTGTGTAACGGGGCTCGTATGATGCGGGATTGGTGAGGAGTGGTGTGTAATAGGGCTCGTATGGTGTGGGATTGGTGAGGAATGGTGTGTAACGGGGCTCGTATGATGCGGGATTGGTGAGGTGTGGTGTGTAATGGGGCTTGTATGGAGTGGAATAGGTGTAGACTTGTGTATGATGGGGCTGGTGTGGTGTGCAATGGGTCGTGTATGGTGTGGGATAGTGGTGGGGTGGTGTGTGATAGGACTTGTATGGTGTGGGACGGTTGAAGAGTGGTGTGTAATGGGACTCGTGTGGTGTGGGATAGGGGTGGAATGGTGAGTGATGGGGCTGGTATGATGTGTTATAGGACTTGTATGGTGTGGGATTGGCGAGGAGTGGTGTGTAATGGGACTAGTATGGTGTGGGTTAAGGGTGGGATGATGAGGGAGACTGGTGGGGTGGTGCAGGAGATGTTCGTGGCCGTGATGGAGACCTGGGGAGGGCGTGACTGGCAGCGGGGCGTTGTGAAGGGGAACCGAGCCAGCGCGGAAGGGACTTGAATTCGGAAGGAGGGGCACGGAGTTCGGAACGACATGGGCTGGGAAGTTGTGTGGAGCAGACTCGATATGATGAACTACAGGGTTGTGATGTGCAACCTGGTTGACATGATGGGAAATTTGCTTGGCATGGTGTGGGGCGCGAGTCACGTCATGAATAGGGGTAATATCATGGACGAAAGACCCAACATGAGGGACTGGAGTGACATGGTGGTCTGACGGATCAACATGATGAGGTACAGGGGTGACATGATGGGAAACGGGAGTAGTACCACGAGGAATAGGAGTACCGTGATGTCTGCTGATAGGACGAAGGGGGAGAGGATTCCCAGGGTGTGCAGCAAGATGGTGTTGGGGAACAGGAGTGACAGGAAGAGGAACAGCGTTGCCAAAATGCAGAGGAACTGCGTTGGACAAAAGGCTCGGGAAGTCAGCTTTATGCAGATCTGCCTCGGGGACAAAAAGGGACAAATCTCCCGGAGGGGGGCGCTCCGCCGCTGCGGGATGCCTTTGCCCAAAGTGAAGGACTGCGTGAGGGCGGACATGCGCCGAATGCTGTGGACCCTGCGTTAGGTGAGGAAAGACGGGGCCTCGAGGGTGGCCGATGGGCTCGCCGTTCACGCTGATGAGTTGAGGCCGAGGGCGCACGGGCTCTGGCCGAGGGAAATGGCCGGCGAAGGCAGGGCCCGGGAAGTGGTGGATGTCATTCGAAGGCACAGGTAATGGGGCTGGGAATGCCGAGGGATGAGGAGGAATCTGCCGGTGCGTCGGGACCGGGGGGCCACGGGAGGGGGGCGTTGGTGACGGGACGGCGTGATGAGGGTGCGTCGGGGCCGGGAGAACCGCCGGAGGGTGAGTGGGCGCCAGGGCAGTAGGGGGGTGAACAGTCGTCACCACAGCGGGGGCAGGGGAGGAGGGCGCTTGAGGATCTTGGTCGGGGTGCGTTGCCACGCCCTCGTACGTGACGACGGCGTTGTAGCCGTTCTCGTCCGCCGTGTACTTCACCACCTGCAGGCGGCCGTCGGGGAGGGCGACGCGGTACTCGCCCGCCGTCTTCTGGCCGTCCGTCGTCTCGTGGTGGCCGAAGCTGCTGCCCGATTTGTCGTCGTTGACGCCGTACGAAAACACGTAGTCCAGCTGCGAAGGACGGGGAAGGAAGGACTTGAGGGGATTCGCACGAATGTAAGTCAAGGCGGTTTATGGTCACTGTCTTTATTATTAATATTATTATTATTATTATTATTATTATTATTATTATTATTATTATTATCATTATTATCATTATTATTATTATATTTTATTATTATTATTATTATCATTATTATTATTATTATTGTTATTATCATTATCATTATTATTATTATTATTATTATTATTATTATTTTCATCTCTATTTTGATTATTATTAGTAGTAACAGTAGTTTTAGTAAATACTGTTATAATAATAATATTGTTTATCATCATCATCATACAATAATAATAATTATTATTATTATTATTACTGTTTTATTATTATTATTATGATTATTATCATTACTATTATTTATTATACACACACACACACACACACACACACACACACACACACACACACACACACGTACACACACACACACACACACACACACACACACACACACACACACACACACACACACACACACACACACACACACACACACACACACATACACACACACGTACACACACACACACACACACACACGTACACACACACGTACACACACACACATACACACACACACACACACACATACACACACACACACACACATGTAT